CCCGCCCGGAGCGGTCCCGGCGCCCAGCCGCCCGCGCCCGTCTCACCCACCTCGGCGCGGACCCAGGCGGCCGCCAGCAGCGCGAGCGCGAGCCAGCGTCTCCACATCTGCGGGAGAGAAAAGAGCGAGGCTGAGGCGCCGGCCGGGAAACTCGTGGGGCGCACTCTGCCCCCGCCCGCCGGCCGCGGGGGGCTCCCGGCCCGCTCCCCGCGTCTCACCGTGTCGGGCGGCTCGAGGGCGCGGGCGGCGGCGGCAGTGCGCACGGGGCGAGCTCCGCGGATCGCCGGCCTCCGAGGAAACCCGACCTGGGCTCGCCGCCCCTTAAGACCCCTCCTTCCCGGCCCGCGGGGCCCCCAGCTCCTCCCATTCTCCTCCCCTTCTGCAGCAGTGGCCCCGCGCGCCGCTCGCCTCCCTCCGCCACCCCCGCGCCGGTGCCCCGTGCGTGCGGGTGCGAGCCCCGGTTCCGGCCTCCGGCTCCCGCCCCAGGACGCAGAGCGGGACCGGGTTGGGGGGCGCTGCGGCAAAGACGCGAGAGGGAAGGGGGGACCCCGCGGCGGGAGGGGTGGCCGGCGCGGGCTACCGCAGTGGCCAGGTGGGCGGTACCGCGAGTTCCTGCCGGGGCCGGGACACGAACCGGGAGGACCCGGCGCCCCGAGATCTGGGCAGACGGAACCGCCCCTGCCCCGGCCTACCATCCTTGAAAGGGGCCCTGCAGCCCGGAGACTAGGGTGTCACTGAGGGGGAGCGCAGGACGCCTGCTTTGGGTACAACTGTGGGTTTCCTGAGGGTGCAGCCACCCAGCTCTACTCTTTTGATCTGAGTCCAGCAGCTTTTTCCCTGTCTTCTCAGCCCAGAACTGGATGCCCCACCCACCCACACCCCATGTCCCTGAGCCCACTGTGGCTTCTCTCTTTCCAGAGGCCTTCGAAGGTGGAAGGTGGGTTCACTTTCTGATCCAGCTAACCCTCTGCCTTGCTGCCTCTTTTCTGCCAGGACTCCCTCAGTGCTGGTGCTGAGAAGGGGCCGGCCCTCAGTATCCTTCAGTGTTGGGTCCTTCAACTCCTACTCACAGTCTTCCCCTGAGGTCACATGCATGCAGCCCACGCCAGCCTTCCTTTCACCCAGAAATGCTGGGGACCACCTCTGATGTCCCCCAGGATCCCCCCTCCCTTTCTGTCTTCACTTCAACACAGTATTCTCCCAGTGCCTGCTTTAAACTTAACCTTATTCACGTTCTTCAACAGAAAATTTCAAAGCCCTTCTCCCACAAGTCCAAACTTTCCTCACTTCATCTACTTCCACACATTTCCTCTGTTTGGATCAGGTTGTCTTCACATTGTCCTCTCAACTGGTCCCTCTTCTACCAAGGTTTGAGTGTCTACTGCTGAGATTCTGAGGGTCTTCAAAAGAATGCCCACACCCACGTGCAAGTTCAGAATCACTGAGGTAGCCATTGGAGCTGCCCTGATGGAGAACAACATGTCATCTTTGTTTCTGGCAAAAGCTGGATTGATACAGTGGCTTTAGAACTACAGGGCCACCCCAGAACTGAATGTGGCTGCACCTTCCCAGGTAGAGGAGAAAAACCTGTTTATATGAACCCCACTGTGTGGAAAAGCATTCTTCCTGGGGTAGGCCTGCTGCCTAAAGTGGGGTGAGCTAACACAACCTAGTGCTTTGACACTCACCAGACAGTTCAGTCCTGCTCTTCCCCATGGAACAACACATACCAGACACTTTGCCCCATCACTGTGCTCAGGTTAAAGAAGGGAACTGTGAAATACAAAGTTTTGCTTCTGTCCTCTGGTAATTCACTGGAGTAGTCCTTCCGTTCACAAACACTTCTGTTCACAAACAATTTGGTCCCCAAATGATAACACTGGACAAAATTTTGTTTTTGTTCATGAGCTCCATGTTGGGTGACAAACACAACAGTGGTTCTCTTCCCCACACAAACACAAACGTAGCCATCTTCCCCAACACTGTCAAACATTAAGTGCATAAACTGAGGCACTTCTATACTTCTTATCCCTTGCATAGTACTACATTCCCTTGAAGCTATTTGTCCTCCCTGTGTGTATACTGAAGTTCTATTTTGTAACTGTTCCTTAAAGAACTCAATGCACACCGATAATCGCAGCACTTGGGAGGCTGAGGCAGGAGGATCACTGCAAGTTTAAGACCAGCCTGGAGTACATAGTGAGCTCAAGGCCAGCCTGAACTGCATAATGAGACTCTCTCTCAAAAAGACAAAACAACAACAAACCCCCCTCAAGTTTCATTGCATCGGTAGCACCTTTTCTGACAACAACTTGGCATAGTAGGAAGAACATGAGACTGGAGGTCAAATCACCCTGGCTTTCAGTCCTGTCACTGCCATTTACCAGCTGAGACTGCTATCAAATTACTTGAACTCTTGGAACCCAGAGTTTTGCATCTTACAAATGGTAGTGATAATGCCTTTTAGGAGGCTGTGAAAGTTAAATAGATACATTACAAAATGTTCCTGGCAGGGATAGGCCTCTATAAATGATAGCCATAATTACTTCATTGATCTGTTTTGCATCAAAATTGCAGCTGGTATTACGAGAGCCATCCATCCAACTGCCTTGTTTTACTTAATTGTCAGGACAAAACTGAAAGGTATTTTTTTATTGCTTCCATTTTCAAATGAGAAAACTGGAGCTTGGAAAAATTTATGTATTTTTTTAAGGTTATACACTTGGATACACAGCTTTACAACTTGACATTTTATTACATGTCATACAATATTTCACACAGTTGATCTTGATTAAGAGTATGGTTAACTCTACAATAAGCAAAACAAACATAGCAACAAAACAAACTGTGTGAAAGAGTTGACAGCTGTACTAGGGAGGGGTGTTGTGTTGCAGGTGGCAGAGCAAACAATTTAAATGACTATACAATTAAATAGAATTTATAGACCCACATCACCGAGAAACCTGGACATAAGACTGATTTGAGTGTCTTCACCCAGAATTTCATCAAGGACCAAGTTCTTGCCATCGTTTGCTACTACTGTCATCAGCAGTCTCATTCCTGCTTGAGTGGCTCCTGGGAGCTGGCTCTACTCTCAAAGCAGTAAGCTGCCTACAGGGCTGGTCTCTGACATCATTGAATGAGGGATAGAGCTTCTACAATAGCC